AATCAATCCATCTCCCTGAAGGCCTCCCCCTCTTTCTTCAACCCTCCACCCTACCAAGCATGACATCCTTCTCCAGGGAATGGTCCCTTCTTACAACATGACCAAAATAGGTGAGACGAAGTCTGGCCATTTGTTTCAAGATCTATCCTGAAGTACAATGTTGTCAGTGATAGGATAATGTCCATACACCTACAAGGAAGACCAGTTAGTTAATACTACTATTATTCATGAAGAGTAGCTAAAGCAAATGGAAGAAACAAGATAAAAAAAGCTGAACAGAAGATTTTAAAGAGTACCTTGAGAAGACAAAGTAAATTATTAGGATGAAATGTGCAAAGACCTGGACTCAGAAGAACAAAAGGGAAGAACATACTCTGCATTTCTCAAGCTAAAAGAACTGAAAAAAAAAGCAAGCCTTGAGTTGCAATACTGAAAGAGTCTATGGGCAATATATTGAATGATGCAGCAAACATCAAAATAAGATGGAAGGAATACACAGTCACCAGTACCAAAAAGAATTGCTCAATGTTCATCCATTTCAGGAGGTAGCATATGATCAAGAACCAATGGTATTGAAGGAAGAAGTTGAAGCTGCACTGAAGAAAGTGGTGAAGAACAACGCTCCAGGAATTGATGGAATACCCACTGAGATGTTTCAACAAATGGATGCCATGTTCGAGGCACTCACTCAGCTATACCAAGAGATTTGGAAGACAGCTACATGGGAAACTGACTGGAAGAGAGCCATATTTACACTCATTCCAAAGAAAGGTGATCCTACAGAATGTGGAAATTATCAGATAGTATCATTATTAATACCACATGCAAGTAAAATCTTACTGAAGATTCAATTAAAAAATGGTTGCTGCATTATATATGGTATATATATGGTGTGTGTGTGTGTGTGTGTGTATGCATGTATATGGGTGGATATAGATTATAGATGGGTGGACAGGCTGAACTATTAGGTATGTCTATGAAGTGGGGAGTGCACCCAAGAACATGTATAGGGTTGGCAGACAATGGTCCTATAACTTTATATGTATGATCTGAATTCCCAGGTGTATAGTGGAGCTGACAAGGGGCAAGGTTGTAGTCACTGCTTGGTCATATCAGCTACCCAGAGGGACCGAGGAGTTGAACCTGTGGGCTTGGGACCATAGTCTCAGAGGACATCAAGCTCAACTGGCATAACATACTACACAAAACATTGTTCCACCTCCTACCGTGGTGAGTAGCGACTGGGATCTTAAAAGCTTGCAAGCTGCCATCTAGATGCAACGATGGGTCTCTCCTCGTCCAGAGCAAAGAAGAATGAAGAAAACCAAAAATTCATGGAAAC